CTGAAGTTTCTTGGGTTCAGTTAAATTTCCATCCTTTAAACACAAAACGGTTGAAGAGTAAGAGGACTCTGAAACAGTTGGTATTTTTGTTACTTTCAGTTTTTCATTTAACTGAAATTTAACCCCTGTGAACTTTTCTCATTGCTGTGAAATGTTAACACGGCTTCTGTCATTATAAATAATGATGAACATTTAAACATTATCAATCAGTTAATAGGTTAAATGTGTGTGTGTGTGTGTGTGTGTCAATTCTCAGTTATTTGTCATGTTTGTGGGTTACTGCTAACAATTATCTGTCTTCTTTGATATCTAACTTTTGATAATTTAAAGTCAATGACAGGCATGAAAAGAAATTCATATACTTTGTTTATTAGAGTTAGGAAAAGGGTTGTCATGTTTTGCTTTTAAAAAAATATGGTTCTTCAGGCTAGAGATATGGCTCAGTGGTTAAGAGTATTTGCTACTCCTGCAGAGGACCTGGGTATGATTCCCAGAACCCACAAGGTGGCTCACAACCGTTACTCCAATTCTAAAGAACTTAACACCCTCTTCTGGCCTCTTGGGGCACCAGGCATACACACTGTGCACAGAGATATCTGCAGGCAAAACACCCAAATGCATAAAATAATTACGTCCTAAAACTAAATGATCCTGGGGACTGAATGCCTCATGCAAGTGTTCTACCACCTGAGCTAAAGTCTTAGTCCCAGGGAATGTGTTGGTAGATAAAGGAATTCAGGATAAGCTGTGTTATTTTGAAAACAAATTTGTTACATACACATACACATTAAGACAGAGCATTAAACACAATTAACAAGTAGCTTTCTTATCTATGGAAAGAAGTTAAGTAAAAACAGATTCTTACTTTTCGTCTGATTAGTATAAAGATATTCTTAAAAACTTAATATTTAAGAATACATTAAAAGAAAAAGATTAGTTGTTATGAAGGCTATAACAGTGTGACTAAATAATCTTCAAAGTTTTAAATGAGCAGTTTCTATAAACACAACAATAAGAAAAACGATTTAGTCACATGATTACCACAGATTTCTAAGACTTGAAAAACACAAGAGCATAGTGATCAGAATTACAGTAACACATGTAAATGAGACAAGGAGGATTTTACCCAGGAACGCAGTCAGAGATGACAGGTACTGGAGATGTGAGACTGGGTACCAGGAAGGAAACCACACAAGGAATCTAAAGTTGTAAACAATGCGGCACATGCAAGTCATTATCAGAAAGAGATAAAACCTACTGGGAGAACAGATTCTTACACGAAGCTCTGAACAGGGACATAGAGCTTTATACTCTGCCTTATTTTCAAGATAAGCACAAAGGCTGCAGAAAATCTCTGAGGTAACCAATAATCTCTGCAGTATGAAAAACATCTAAAGAATCTCAACAAATACAAGTCACAGACAGTAGCTACTGGGAAAGGAAAACAGAGGTTCCTAGGTTGTAGGGCTCAGCAGACTGTGTTCAGAGCAGTTTAAACCAGGGAGTCACTCCACATTTGGAGCCATTCCTTTCATCCAGAACGGTCTTTTTAGACAGGTAACCTGGTGCACACTTACAAGTTTAAACTTTTGCTTGTTCGCATATTTTTGTTTGTTTTATTATCTATATAGCTAGCATACAGAGACAGAAGTAGAAGGTAAAAAAAATGAATTACATTGAACATCACTTCCCATGTTACAAAATTTCAAATAGGTGTAGAGTTCATTTCTATAGTTATTTACTTTAAGTACTATAAGAGATATGATTCTTTAAAAATTCTACCTAAGGCAATTTATAGATTCAATGCAATCCCCATCAAGATCCCATCAAAATTCTTCACAAATCTGGAGAGGACAATAATCAACTTTATATGGAAAAACAAAAAACCCAGGATAGCCAAAACAATCCTATACAATAAAGGATCTTCTGGAGGCATTACCATCCCTGACTTCAAACTCTATTTCAGAGCTACAGTAATGAAAACAGTGTGGTACTGGCATAAAAACAGAGAAGTCGACCAATGGAATCGTATAGAAGACCCGGATTTTAACCCACAAACCTATGAACACCTCATTTTTGATAAAGGAGCTAAAAGTATACAATGGAAGAAAGAAAGCATCTTCAACAAATGGTGCTGGCACAACTGGATGTCAACCTGTAGAAGAATGAAAATAGACCCACATCTTTCACCGTGCACAAAACTCAAGTCCAAATGGATTAAAGACCTCAATATCAGCCCGAACACACTGAAAAGGATAGAAGAGAAAGTGGGAAATACCCTACAACAGATGGGCACAGGAGACCGCTTCCTATGTATAACCCCAGAAGCACAGACATTAAGAGCAACATTGAATAAATGGGACCTACTAAAACTGAGAAGCTTCTGCAAAGCAAAGGACACTGTCACTAAGACACAAAGGCAACCTACTGACTGGGAGAAGATCTTCACCAACCCCTCAACAGACAAAGGTCTGATCTCCAAAATATATAGAGAACTCAAGAAACTAGACTTTAAAATGCTAATTAACCCAATTAAAAAATGGGGCACTGATCTGAACAGAGAATTCTCAACAGAAGAAGTTCAAATGGCCAAAAGACACTTAAGGTCATGCTCAACTTCCTTAGCAATCAGGGAAATGCAAATCAAAACAACTTTGAGATATCATCTTACACCTGTGAAAATGGCTAAAGTCAAAAACACCAACGATAACCTTTGCTGGAGAGGTTGTGGAGGAAGGGGTACCCTCATCCATTGCTGGTGGGAATGCAATCTTGTGCAACCACTATGGAAGTCAGTGTTTCGGTTTCTTAGGAAATTCGGGATCAACCTACCCCTAGACCCAGCAATACCACTCTTGGGAATATACCCAAGAGATGCCCTATCATATGACAAAAGCATTTGTTCAACTATGTTCATAGCAGTATTATTTGTAATAGCCAGAACCTGGAAACAACCTAGATGCCCTTCAATGGAAGAATGGATGAAGAAAGTATGGAATATATACACGCTAGAGTACTACGCTGCGGTAAAAAACAATGACTTCTCGAATTTTGCATGCAAATGGATGGAAATAGAAAACACTATCCTGAGTGAGGTATCCCAGACCCAAAAAGATGAACATGGGATGTACTCACTCATAATTGGTTTCTAGCCATAAATAAGGGTCACGGAGTCTACAATAGGTGAATCTAAAGAAGCTAAGTAAGAAGGGGAACCCAAGGTAAAACATATAGTTATCCTCTTGGCTAAGGGAAGTAGACAAAATTGCCGGGGAGAAAATTGGGATCTTGGGGTGGGGTGGGTTGGGGGTAAGGGGAGATGGGGAGAGAAAAGTTAGAAGGGAAGGAGGTCGGGCCTTGGGAAAGCAGGAGGATAGGGATAAAGGAAGGTTGGACAGGGGAGCACGGAACCACAATTCTTAGTTAAGGGAACCACTTTAGGGTTGGCAAGAGACCTGACCCTAGAGGGGCTCCCAGGTGCCCAAGCTGAGGTCCCCAGTTAGTTCCTTGGGCAGTTGAGAATAGGGAACCTGAAATGACCCTATCCTTGAGCAATACTGACGAATATCTAGCATATTATCATAGAACCTTCATCTGGTGATGGATGGAGATAGAGACAGAGACCCACACTGGAGCACTGGACTGAGCTCCCAAAGTCCCAATGAGGAGCAGAAGGAGGGAGAACATGAGCAAAGAAGTCGGGACCACGAGGGGTGCACCCACCCACTGAGACAGTGGAGCTGATCTATTGAGAGCTCACCAAGACCAGCTGGACTGTGACTGAAAAAGCATGGGATAAAACTGGACTCTCTGAACATGGCGAACAATGAGGGCTGATGAGACGCAAAGGACAATGGCACGGGGGTTTGATCCTACGTAATGTGCTGGCTTTGTGGGAGCCCAGCCAGTTTGGATGTTCACCTTCCTAGATATGGACGGAGGTGGGAGGTCCTAGGTCTTACCACAGGGCAGAAAACCCTGACTGCTCTTTGGACTGGAGAGGGAGGGGGAAAGGAGTGGGGGGAGGGGGAGAAGGTTGGGAGGAGGGGGAGTAGGGGGGAAGGAGGGGGAGGGAAATGGGAGGCTGGGAGGAGGTGGAAACTTTTTTTTTTTTTCTCCTTTTCTCAATAAAAAAAAAAAAAAAAAAAAAAAACTTGCCAATCATGAGGGTTAGGGTACAAAACTGTTTGCCACATTATTTTCAGTATATTGCTTTCAAATGTTTTTACTACATTTAATTAGTGTGTGTGTGTGTATGTTTGCTGCTGCTGCTACAATTACATGCACATGGAAGTCAGAAGAAAACTTGTAGGAGTTGTTCACTCCTTCTACCATGTGGGTCAGTCTCAGGGATCAAACTCTGATTGCCAGACATCGTGGCAAGCTCCTTTCCCCACAGAGCCATCTTATTAGTTTATCAGAGAGTCATTTCAACACAATGCCCTTTCTATACGCATGCATCTGTGAGACACTGGTTCTAAGATCTCTCTGCTCCCTTGCCAAAATCCACAGGTGCTCAATTCACATATTTAAAATGGTTAAGTGCATATAGCATATGATATCCTGCACATACCACGAACTGTCTCTAAATTAGTTTCAAAACCTAACAGACAGATATGCTATGAAAACAGTTGTGATACGGTTTAACAGCATGAACATCAGCACTACAGAGGCCATCAGTACTGGCCTGGGTAAGCACATCAGCAAAAACATGACTTTATTTCTCAAACACTTTGGATATGAAATTGATTAGCTCTGTATATAGGGAATCTTCAAAAGCAGAGTGTTCAAGGCATATTTATCTATAACTGAGTCCTAGATAAAAATCTATGGGCAGAAAAGTTCCATATTCAGAAGAAGCCAAAAAAAAAATCCAGAAGACAACCTTTTTACTCTAGAAAACAACAAGGAGGCATTAGAAACCAATGTAATCCATTAAATTCATTTTCGCTTAAATTGATCTGTAGTCTTTGGGGAATTCTAAATTTTATGAAACTTACCAGGCCCACTTCTTTCAAAGCCGAAGTCACAGAAATAACAGGTCTCATTTGCTGCTTTGATGGAGAACCCCCCATTTCTTGATGCTCCAAAGGTAGAGAAATATCTGAGCTCCTTACCTTCACCAGCAACTGCAAGAAACAGAATACACAGCTAAAAACACTGGATTTCATATCCTCATAGAGAAATAAAAGGCCCCAAGATATCTCTAATGCATAGTACAAATAGCTTCCAATTCCTTCATTCCTCACTGGGCTGGACACTATGATACATGCTGGTAGAATGTGAACACAGAAATCCCCAGCTGCATGTGTAAACACAGCCACGTGTCTGACAAGCAGTCCTAAATAAAACTGGCTACCACTGCTCGAGCAATGTCTCATAAAATGATTCCGCCAAAAGTCTTCAAGGGTCATGAGGAATGCTCAGTAGTTAATAGTGCTTACTTCTCTTGCAGAGAACCTGTGTTGAATTCCCAGCACCAATACAGTAGCTCACAACCATTGTCAACTCCAGTTCCAGGAGATCCAATGCCCTCTTGGCCTCCATGGGCTCCTGCACACACTTGGTGCGCATAATCTCACAGAAGCATACACACATACCCATAAAAATAATAAACACACACATAAACAATGTGTAAGAGTCATATAGAATATTCATTTCTAATACCATTATGTTATTTTAATCTAATACAATGTTTAATGTAAAAGTAGTTTATTAATTTTATATTTCAGAAAGAAATGCTTCTAAAATTTCTCCCAAATTTTGTAGTTTCCTTAAAGCCTGAAACCCATATTTCGACACAAGTGCACTTTTATCAGGTGCTAGTCATTGGGACTCTAATCAGCATAAATATTGTGAGCTTAAATTTTTACTATTATAGTTTGTATTTGTGCATTTGAGGTGACCCCAGAGGTTCCCCTGAGCTAGCGTTTCAGAAAGTTGAGAGCTGCTTGAAGCAGGTCCTGTGATCTGTACTTGGGTGCTCTGCAAGAACACTCTTGACCCATCTTTCCAGCTCTCAGACAGTAAACTTCTGAAATAAATAGAGGCAGTGGAATTAGCTGTACTGTTGTAGCACAGAGTGAGTTGCTCCCAACTACAAATCGTTCTTGATTACGAAGACTTTCAGTAAGTATATATTTCAGGTAGTTGTTACAGAGTGTAATGGTCTTAATAATAAAAACCCAGAGTCAATATCGGGGCAAACGCTGGAAGATCAGAGAGGTATTAGGGAGCCAGCCAATAGAGTGACTTGACTGAAGTGGGCAAGATCCTGTCCCCAAGAATCCTCAGACTGAATGGGCTGAGCTCCTGTTTCTTCCTGCCTTATATTCCTCTCTCCTCCCAGCCATATCCTTTCCTGTCCCCACCTCCCTAGCACTGGCACTAAAGGCATTTGACTCTCAAGTACTGGGATTAAAGGGGAGAGCCACCACCTCCTGGTTCTGTTTCTCTTTTACACTGAATCAATCTCACGGTGGCCTCGAACTCACAGAGATCCATCTGCCTCTGTCTCCCAAGTGCTGGGATTAAAGATGGTGCTTAGCCTTTATAGCTAATTAGTGGCTAGCTCCTCACTCTGATTTTCAGACAAGCTTTATTTCTTAAAATCACAAACAAAATGGCACCACAACTGAGCTATGAATAAGGTGGTAATTCTAATATTTAGACTTCCAATTTTTATTATACCAGTATCTATGTATTTAAACAGTTGCACAACTGATATGGCCAACATTATTAATTATACTAATTTCAAGATGTGAAATAAATTTTTAAAGTATCTAGAACTCATAACAACCAAGTACTCTCACTGTGAAGGAATATGCTAATAATTTGAAACTGTTTTGTTAACATAAGAATGTATATTAAAGGCCTCTCAAATTCTATGGGAATCAGAATAAATTCTAAAATTGTCCTACATAACATCAAAATTTTTAGAATATATTAAAAGTTTTAAGTGATTTCTATAAAAACTGGGGCAGATACCAATAAACCAAAATTAAGAAACTGCTGAGAAACACCGTGGTTGTAAAAAGTGACATTTCTAGAATCTTGTGCCAATTTTCTTGAAGAAATACTTCCTAGAATTTCAATACATGACTCTAATGTGATTCTTTCTGAGTCAACAAATTCATAGGTCTTGATATCTACTAACAAACTGAGAGTTCCTATCTGCACAAACAATCTAGGTGACGAAGACCATAATGAGTGAGGCAGGGTTCTCTTGAAAAGGCTGCAAACTGCAATGGAAAGGGAAGTAACTGACTGTACTCCTGAGAAACACTACCTGATCTGAACGAGAAGGAAACAGCAGACAAAAAACAAGAACTGAGTGTGTAAGTCAGATGAGGTGCTGAAGACAGCAGCCTCCAAGGCACCCTGAGCCTCAGCAGCCCTTCAGGGTCAAAGTCGGACACTTCTACACCCAAGGTCTCAAACTCACACTTAATACTCTTGCGATTTTTCATTGGACTCTGAGATTCAGTTTCTTCCTCTAACAAAAGAGTGATGTCCTCATTTTCTCTTTTCTGAAGAGATCAAATGAAATAAGTTGTGTGAAGCACACAGCAATTATTGATTTAACCTTTATCAAATAAGATCATTTGGCATAAGCACCAAAAGCTTAGACTGAATTACTGATGCATTAACTTGCAGAAGCCAAGTTTCTGATCTTAAGAATGCAGAACAAAAACAAAAATTCATCTGTGTATAATCGGAGTTTGAAGTTTAGGCAGTGCACTGGAGGTTTAGAACAGAATTCACAAGAAACAGTGATCCACAAGTCGAATACCTTACCTTATGAAATTCAAAGAAAACTATGATTTAAAAGGATCAAAAAGTAATATAGTTGTATGAATAATTAAATAGAAGTTACAATAAGTATTGAAACAATTTCACTAAAGAAAACAGCATCAAATGCCCTTCTCAACTTATTCATGAATTTCAAGAATAGCTTTTTCTGTTATTATTGTTTTTATTGAGCTATATTTTTTTCTCCTCCCCTCCCTTTCATTCCCTTCCCCTTCTACCCTCTCCATGGTCCCATGCTCCCAATTTACTCAGGAGATCTTGTCTTTTCCTACTTCCCATATCGATTAGATCCACTTATGTCTCTCTTATGTCGCAGGCTTAGGGACAGGGGAGCACGGAACCACAATTCTTAGTTAAGGGAGCCACTTTAGGGTTGGCAAGAGACCTGACCCTAGAGGGGCTCACAGGTGCCCAAACCGAGGTCCCCAGTTAGTTCCTTGGGCAGCTGAGGATAGAGAACCTGAAATGACCCTATCCTATAGCCATACTGACGAATATCATGCATATCATCATAGAGCCTTCATCTGGTGATGGATGGAGATAGAGACAGAGACCCACACTGGAGCACTGGACTGAGCTCCCAAGGTCCCAATGAGGAGCAGAAGGAGGGAGAACATGAGCAAAGAAGTCGGGACCACGAGGGGTGCACCCACCCACTGACAGTGGAGCGGATCTATTGGGAGCTCACCAAGGCCAGCAGGACTGTGACTGAAAAAGCATGGGATAAAACTGGACTCTCTGAACATGGCGAACAATGAGGGCTGATGAGAAGCCAAGGACAATGGCACGGGGTTTTGATCCAGCTTAATGTGCTGGCTTTGTGGGAGCCTAGCCAGTTTGAATGTTCACCTTCCTAGATATGGACGGAGGGGGGAGGACCTAGGACTTACCATAGGGCAGAAAACCCTGACTGCTCTTTGGACTGGAGAGGGAGGGGGAAAGGAGTAGGGGGAGGGGGAGAAGGGTGGGAGGAGGGGGAGAAGGGTGGGAGGTGGGGAGGGAAATGGGAGGCTGGGAAGAGGTGGAAACTTGTTTTTTTTTTCTCCTTTTCTCAATAAAAAAAAGTAACAGCAGTTACTGGCTTTAATTTTTTCACATTTTAATATTTGGCATCTTTTGCTGACAATTAAGAAAAATGTAAACACATTGTGTAAAGACTGCAAATTTAAAAGTGATAAATATTTACTGAATACCTACTATGTGCTGTTCAGTTATCGTGATAAACATGGCAGGTAGAAACAAACACGCAAGCACACAATCCAGTGCCAGTAACCGCGAAATTCATAGCAACATCAAGGGTGGTTAAATGTGGAGAAGAGTTAGAAAGACAAACGAGTTATTGTCTAGGTTCTACTTAGACTGTGGCTAATACGGCATAAAAACCTTCCTGTAGCTTTTTTGTTAGGGAAAATAAGTTATGCTCTGAAAAAATAAAGTCCGGAAATAATGTCCTGTCTGCTAGTGTTCCCAGTAACATTTTAAAATGTCTAATTTTCATTCTACAAATAATCATTTCTTCAACTTTTTTTAAATCAACAACTTTTTACAAAATACCACATAAAAATATTTTAAATAAGAAATTTAGCTGTAAAAACTTAAAATCTGGGGCTGCTACTTTTACAGAAGACCTAAGTTCCATTCCCAGCCTCTACGTGAGATGGCTTATAATCACCAGTAATTCCATCTCCACGGGATGTAACACTTATGGCTTCCACAGGCACCTGCATTTAAAAATAAATCTTTGAAAAAAAACCTCTAAAATGTACTGTATTACATCCCCATGAGTGATGGAAGTCTAAAGTCCTTTACCTAGTATTTAAAAGAAATTCTCTAAACTTCCATCACAGGAATTTTGTAGGTTAGGTAACATCTATAACTGCTTTAAGTGCCAATTACTATGATGTTCAGCTATTCCTTCCAGATGGTTACTGTAGTTCCACATGACATTTCTGAAATCCAAAGCTATGTGAGCTTGAGTAGGTTTGTAATAACAAGAGATTAGTTCATGCCTCTGAAGGACACATATGCTATCCTCTCTCAGACATATATAATGCACTATAAAACTGAGATCAATTAGGGGCATCTGGTCTGAATTCAGCATGTCTCTGCATGTATCCAGGTAAGCTGGCATCCTGCTCTGCTACTTCCCTGTTTACACAAGGCTGGAGTATCATGCGGGGACACATCATCTGTGGGTCTTGGAAGCATAGTCCACCACCTGCAATTAGATAAAGCCTCCAATCTCTCTGCTTTGCATCACGATGGCCTTGACTTCAACATTCACAGAAGTAAAGCGTGTTTGTCATTCCAAGACATGGTCTGTGTAGCGTTTGACAGTATAACACGCCAACTAGCATACCCTACTAGAATTACTGCACAGTACGTCAGAACATGATCATATGGACAGCAGCCTTGATTTATAGATTTGCACACTGCTTATGTATACATGACACTTTATATTTAAAAGTGTAGCTTCACTCAACTGCTATTTCCTCAGTTGGTTTAAATAAGCTGGTTTATATGACTGTCTATTTTCAAACACACACTTAAAATCTTTAATGATTATTTAAACATAATTTCTCTTCTCTTCTGATTTATTAAACAAAGAATTGCTAAGTGTCAACTATTTGTCATATCAACCTCTGAAGATGTAACCATGACCGTACTGGCTGCTTCTATAGCAACTTGACACAGGCTAGAACCATCACAGAGGGAGCTTCAGTTGAGAAAATGCCTCTATAAGATCAGGCTGCAAGGCATTTTCTTAATTAGTGATTGACGGGGGAGGGCCCAACCCCTTGTGAGTGGTGCCATCCCTGGGCAGGCAGTCCTGGGTTCTATAAAAAAGCAGGTTGAGCAAGCTGGTAAGCAGCACCCCTCTATGGCCTCTGCACCAGCTCCTGCCCCAGGTTCCTGCCCTGATTGAGCTCCTCTCCTGACTTCCTTTAATGAAGAGCGGTGATGTGGAAGTGTTAAGATGAACAAGCGCTCTCCTCCCCAAGCTGCTTTGGTCATGGTGTTTATTACGGTGACAGTCGCCCTGACTACCACAATGTCTAAAAAAGGGTTCCAGGAAACAAAGTTTCCTGATGAAAATCACAGTTTGAGTAATTCTGTAACTTATGTTAATAATAATCTATGTTAATTAATAATCTAAATAATCTATAACACACATTCTTATGTATTAGCGCTCAGAATCTTTATTCTTTAAAGAAGTAAAAGTGTTAAACTGTGGGCACAAACTATCTATTGCAGAAGGCTCATGGGAATAAGGAGAAAATAATTTACTTATTCATTCTCTTCATTAAACTCTAGTAAGAATTCAGATGAAGTGGCCAGGCGCAGTGGCACATGCCTTTAAAACCAGCACTCAGGAAGCAGAGGCAGGCCGATCTCTGTTGAGTTCCCAGACAGTCAGGACTATGCAGAGGCCCTGCATGGTGATGTGAATGAAAACGGCCACATATCTGATCTCCAGCAATGGAAGATGGGGAAACAGAGGTGAGACTACAGAAGTTACACAGAACACAAAGAAAATTGAGTAATGTCGGGGATTCAGTATATGAATTAGCTATATTTTCTGCTACTCAGCTCTCTATTGGAGCAAATTTTCATTTGTTCTCTCCTTCTCTCTCCCCTTCCCATCTCCCTCTCCCCGTGCTCCCACTCATCTACCCCCTGCTTGCATGCCTGCTTGTCAAGGTCTCTCCAGATGTTACCCAGGCTGACTTCAAACTCACAATCCTCCTGATTCTCCCTCCCTAGTACTAACTAGTATTGCAGGTGTGGCACCACGCCCAGGTTTAAATCAATACCTACTTAAATATATCATTAACAGAAAAGGATTTCCTTCGTTAGAGGGGTAATGATCTGTTTTGTATTCTTTCTAACATCATACCACCACCTGTTTGTCAGATTAATTTGAACAGGACTACAGATACACAAAAACCCCTTCATCACTAATAGCCTTACAGGCTTTTAAAGGACCCCTAAAACCCAAAACTACTACCTTAGAAACTGCTTGATGTTGAAACAAAACAAAACACAAAAACCACATAAGCCAGTGACATAGACAGAGAATAACTAAGAGCACAACGGAAACATTAACGGGACATGAAATAGAAAACTCAGTCCAAGCGCACTGCTTGGCTATTTCTAGCACCTTTCCTTTACCACTACTAAGTTTAGAAGCCAAAAGCCCCAGACATTGTAATTACTGTTTTCTAACAGTCTGGGTGTGAATTTGTGTTCATTATAAAAGACATACGTGTGCTATATATGTATGGCATGTCTTAGCTATAATTCAAGTGCAGTGTTTCCTAGAGTTCTGTGAGCTGCTGGAGCAAGTTGATCAGATCTGAAGGGCGGTCATGGGAAAGTCCATTGTAGCTTATTTGGCAGAAATTCACAGCTCTGCACTGGCTAATGGGTCTGAAATAGGGACAGCGTGGACCAGTACTGTCCCCAGTCTCCCCGCAAGTAGACAGTGTCTGATGTGGACTGGATTAGTGGGCTTCTAGCTGCTATCCACTGTACAGCTGCTTCTTTGCTACTGGAAAGACTCCCACAGCTTTTGAGTTACAGAAGTCTTCAGAATTGTGGTGCCAGGACAGAGAGAAAAACCAAGCACTTTGTTTCCCTAACACAGCACATGTCATGTAGGCACAGAAAACAGGCTAAGAATCAACACTGGCTGTCAACCACACTAATTCCTAGGGAGTTCGAATGAAGGTGAACTTAGAAGAACCGAGAACTTGTAGTCATGCCTGTCTATGCCTTCTGAACATATATGGTGACAGGTAATGCTTAAAATGAAGTACATTTGAATCATTCAGATGACTCCTAGGTGCAGATGGGCCTGTTCACCACGTTCTAGGATGGACTGGGAGGGCCCATGAGGACCCACTCCTAGAAGAGGATATATGGTAGTTAAAGGCTACTGGGCAAGGACGAGTCATTTTTCCTCAGGGCTGTCATCACTGGTAAACTGCCCAAGAAATAACCCCATTATGGAAGTCTTTGACACGACTACATTGTGGGAACTCCTTCAGCCAGCACCCCATACCTGTCCACATGCAAGCAACCCTAGTTAAAGTCTGTGGGTTATTAAAAAGAGAAGACATGAAAGTAGGAAGGGAGTGCTTGGAAGAGGAACGCAATGGGCTGCATGTGGAATATGATTAAGTTATATGCATACATGAAATCATCAAAAATAAGGTAATGGTTTTTACAAAAATCAAGATCAGAACATTTTCTCAGTGTCAGTAGAAATACTTATAGGGAAATTTAAGGTTAAAATGTTGCTATTAATTTTGCCCACTCAAAATTTTTGTACTATATTGCTTCTTCTTAAGTAATTGTTAATAACAGTAAGTCAATATTAAGCTATGAGGGTATCACTACTATCCTAGAATCAAACTAATACTAACATGCATATTTATGAAACAACAAAAACAAAAAGTATTTTTACCGAAAATACATTCACAAAATAATTCCTTAAAGGAAAATACCCAAAAGTTGTAAGTATCTTAGAGCTTATTTTAAATGTTTGCAAAATATATCTGACCTTCAAAGGATTCTTTATATTGGACAATATTTGGATGCTTCATGTTTGCCAACACTGCAACTTCTCTCCTTGATTCCTGCCGTTCTTTGCCGGACATCTTAAATGGAAGAAAATAGTAAAGCCACTAATAAAAGGTAAAAGTCCACCTATAAGAGAGTGGTTAAAAATGCTACTAATACAGCACGGTAACAATAACAAACATTAAAAACTATAGCAGTATGTTACAAAGGAATGAGCTGAATCCGTAAGTGAAGCCCATTAAGCGTGCCCAATCTACATAAGTCACAGGACTGTAAGTATATGTTTCTACATACCATACAGGAACAAAGAGGAAAAAATCTGAAAGGACACACAGACTCCAGTGACGTAGTGGTTCTGATGGGATCATAGCACTCTTCCTGACTAGGTTATGCGTTTCTCTGATTAATATTAAATATTTAATATTTGATCCTAGGGTGACCAAATTACTACTTCTACAAACAAAGTAAAAATGTACTTACTCTTGAAATGTTAATTTCCTTGATAACATAATGCCTGCCATCCTCTGTGGACTTAACAAGAACAGCTTTTCCAAATGAGCCTTCTCCAATCTTCTGTAGTCTAACATACTTCTCCATGGCTCTTTCTTAAGGCATTTTCATAGGGTAGCTACATGCAAAAGAATTAGCAGAGATTAGGCAAGTCTTAATACAAAGATATTTAATATCTTGACTGAAACTTACACTTTACAATTAGAACAAAACAAGAAATATTGATGTTTCAGTTTTATTAGAATGCTTTGAAGTATCCAGCAGTAAATATATTTACAACACAGGCACATAAAGGCAAACTTTTTCCTACATGAACCAGTAGCATTATTTTATTATTTTAATAAGAATAAAGCTTAGTAAGACAATTTTTCAAAGCTGTTTCAACAATTGAAGGTAAAATTTCTGTAAGTATATTTTGTTATTTATTGTAAGGATTTTCTTAGGATAAAATCTGAAATCAAAGACTATGCAGGTGTTAATTAAAGCTTGCAAACATATTTCTTAAGCATCTTGCAGAAATCTGTCAGAGCATGGTCCAAGAATGAAGGCATGTGAGAACTGTGAGAATTCCTGAGTGCTTGTGAGAAAACTCAAAGAAAACACAGTCTTGTGACCTCGGTTTTATCAAAACACAGAACTGTTCTTTTTTTTTTTTATTGAGAAATGGAAAAAAAAAGTTTCCCCCTCCTCCCAGCCTCCCATTTCCCTCCCCCTCCTGCCATCCTTCTCCCCCTCTGCCCACTCTTCTCCCCCTCCCTCTCCAGTCCAAAGAGCAGTCAGGGTTCCCTGCCCTGTGGAAAGTCCAAGGTCCTCCCCACTCCGTCCATGTCTAGGAAGGTGAACATCCAAACTGGCTAGGCTCCCACAAAGCCAAACATGAAGTAGGATCAAAACCCCTTGCCATTGTCCTTGGCTTCTCATCAGCCCTCATTGTCCGCCATGTTCAGAGAGTCCGGTTTTATCCCATGCTTTTTCAGTCAGACTCCAGCTGGCCTTGGTGAGCTCCCAATAGATAAGCTCCACTATCTCCGTGGGTGGGTGCACCCCTGGTGGTCCTGACTTCCTTGCTCATCTTCTCCCTCCTTCCGCTCCTCATTGGGACCTTGGGAGCTCAGTCCAGTGCTCTAGTGTGGGTCTCTGTCTCTATCTCCATCCATCACCAGATGAAGGTTCTATAGTGATATGCAAGATATTCATCAGTATGGCTATAGGATAGGGTCATTTCAGGTTCCCTATCCTCAGCTGCCCAAGGAACTAACTGGGGACATCGCCTTGGGCTCCTGGGAGCCACTCTAGTCCCTTGCCAGCCCTAAGGTGGCTCCCTTAACTAAGAATTGTGCTTCCGTGCTCCCCTATCCACCCTTCCTTTATCCCAATCATCCTGTTTCCCCAAGTTCCCCCCATTCTCCCCTTCTCCCTTTTCTCTCCCCATCTCCCCTTACTCCCAACCCACCGCACCCCCAAGATCCCAATTTTCTCCCCGCAATTTTGTCTACTTCCCATAGGCAAGAGGATAACTATATGTTTTTCCTTGGGTTCACCTTCTTATTTAGCTTCTTTAGGTTCACTAATTGTAGACTCAGTGAGCTTTATTTATGGCTAGAAACCAATTATGAGTGAGTACATCCCATGTTCATCTTTTTGGGTCTGGGATACCTCACTCAGGATAGTGTTTTCTATTTCCATACATTTGCAGGCAAAATTTGAGAAGTCATTGTTTTTTACCGCAGCGTAGTACTCTATTGTGTATATATTCCACACTTTCTTCATCCATTCTTCCATTGAAGGACATCTAGGTTGTTTCCAGGTTCTGGCTATTACAAATAATACTGCTATGAACATAGTTGAACAAATGCTTTAGTCATATGATAGGGCATCTCTTGGGTATATTCCCAAGAGTGGTATGGCTGGATCCAGGGGTAGGTTGATCACGAATTTCCTGAGAAACCGAAACACTGATTTCCAAAGTGGTTGCACAAGATTGCATTCCCACCAGCAATGGATGAGGGTACCCCTTCCTCCACGGCCTCTCCAGCAAAGGCTATCATTGGTGTTTTTGATTTTAGCCATTCTGACAGGTGTAAGATGATATCTCAAAGTTGTTTTGATTTGCATGTCCCTGATTGCTAAGGAGGTTGAGCATGACCTTAAGTGTCTTTTAGCCATTTGAACTTCTTCTGTTGAGAATTCTCTGTTCAGTTCAGTGCCCCATTTTTTAATTGGGCTAATTAGCATTTAAAAGTCTAGTTTCTTGAGTTCTCTATATATTTTGGAGATCAGACCTTTGTCTGTTGCGGGGTTGGTGAAGATCTTCTCCCAGTCAGTAGGTTACCTTTTTGTCTTAGTGACAGTGTCCTTTGCTTTACAGAAGCTTCTCAGTTTTAGTAGGTCCCATTTATTCAATGTTGCCCTTAATGTCTGTGCTGCTGGGGTTATACCTAGGAAGCGATCTCCTGTGCCCATCTGTTGTAGGGTACTTCCCACTTTCTCTTCTATCAGGCTCAGTGTGTTTGGACTGATATTGAGGTCTTTAATCCATTGGACTTGAGTTTTATGCATGGTGATAGATATGGGTCTATTTTCATTCTTCTACAGGTTGACATCCAGTTGTGCCAGCATGTGTTGTCATGCTTAATCCAGGTGTAGTGTTTAATTCAGCTGCTGTCATTCATCTGCTCTGTGGAAAAAATGTTTTCCCGTGATTGTACTCTTTACTCATGTGACTCAGCCCTCAGAGTATAAACTTCTGCTGCTCTGAATAAAGGTGGCTATCGCATGAGACTTCGGCCCACCTCCTCTTTAGGCCCCACTCTCTCCGGTTCACAGACCCACTAGAGTGGTAAACATCTACTACGGTAACCAATACTGTATAAAATGCTGACTCTTAAACACTCTTACCAACAGTGGCTATTCTTTATAAAGATATCAAAGAAGCAACAAAAGGCAGTAGTTAAAGAGCTGGCCTGCAAGATGGCTCAGTGGGTTAAAGGCACTTGCTAAGCAAGTTTGGAGAGCAGAGTTGGATCCCTGGAAGGAGAAAGCTCCACAAAGTTGCTGCTTGGCTTCCACACATGCGCATGGCACACATGCCCCCACTGACATCTGCACTTGCAGTTATAACAAACTTCAGTGTCTAAAAAGAGCACTGGACCCTAGAGCTTGTGGTGGTTTGAATAAGAACAGCCCCACAGGCTCATATACTTGCATTTTTAGTCCCCAGGTGAAGAACTCTTTAGAAGGCTAGAAGGCGTGGCCTTGTTGGAGGAGGTTTATCACTGGGAGTAGGATTTGAGATTTCACATGACCATACCAGGCCCAGTGCCCCACTTTCCTCTGCAGACCTGCCTGTGGATCAGGATGTAAAGGTATCAGCTACCACTCCAGCACTGTGCCATGCCTTCCTGCCTGCCGCCATGCTCCCTTCATAATAAACTAACCCTATGAAACCATAAGCAAGTCCCTAGTTAAATTCTTTCGTTTGTAAGAGTTGTCTTGGTCACTGTGTCTCCACACAACACTAAGACAGAGCTAAGTCCTGGTTCTATTACTTGTCACATGACCTTAGACCAGTGGTACTCAACCTGTGGGTTGCGACCCCTTGGGCAGTTGAACTACCCTTCATAGGGGTTGCATATCAGATAGCTACATATGAGATATTTACATTATAATTCATTACAGTGGCAAAACTACAGCTGTGAAGTAGTAACAAAATAATTTTATGATTGGGGGTCACCACAGCATGAGGAACTGCACTAAAAGGTGCAGTATCAGAGCTGTTGAGAACCACTGCCTTACACTAATGCTTTCTGTATCTCAATTTATTCACCTATAAATGTGATAAACACAGTATGCACTTAAAGAATCACTGTGAGGGTAATTAAAGCAATACACCAAGAACGACCTAAGGCATGTGTCACTGTGTTCCTGTTTCTGATGGACAGGGCTACATTTCAATTCTTCTGCTTACTGATAAATCTGAAAATTTCTTCCATATTTATTCAACATTTGTACTTCCTGTAAACTGCCCAGTTCTACTTGCATAGTCTTTTATTAGTATGCAAAACCTTACTATTTAATGAAATATTCATCTGTCATAAAAGTAAAAACTTTATTTTTGAGACAGGTTTTTAATGTAATCCAGGCTGGTCTCAAACTAACTGTCCTCCTTTTCAGTCCTAAATGCTGGGATACAAGTGTGTACCTCCACGCCCAGCTTAATATGAACTGGCTTGATTAGTATACCTCAAAGATTTTCCAACCAAGATAAAGTTGTTAGTAGCTTGGCTAATCCTAGTTGTCAACTTGACTATACCTGGAATCAACTAAAACCCAAGCAGCTGGGCACGCCTGTAAGGGATTTTCATGGCTGGATCATTTGAGGTGGGAAGACCCACTCCAAATCTGCATCACTTGAGATCAGAAGACCCATCCTAAAATCTGGGCTACATCTTTGGTGACAGTCCACATAAAAGGATATAAAGGTATCAACTACCACTCCAGTACTACGCCATGCCTTCCTGCCTACCGCCACGCCATGGAGGGCAGATGCTTTGGCTCTTTACCTGCTTGCCTTCACTCCTGAGGGCAAGCTCATCAAGCCCACTGCTGAAGCACCCCTTCACTGGCATTAAAAACTTCATCTTCAGGATTGAAGACTAACCTTGTGGACGAGATTCTTTGCTTTTCCATCTGGTCACAGCCATTGTTGGGCTAGCTAGACCACAGCCTGTAAGCCACTCTAATAAACCCCCATCTATTCTGTTTCTCTAGAGAATCATGACTAATACAATAGCTTGAACAATTATAATTTTAGGATAAGTCAGAAAAAATACACTAGTTAATGAGAGCTTAAGAAAGGAAGCATGTGAAAGTCATAAAAGCAGTAATCAACACAGCCAGGGGCAAGATTTCTCTTCTGCAGAATACATAAATTCACTATTTTAGTCTGAAACTAATACTTTATTCACCCAAGATGCTCTGTTTCCATTCACAGCAAGCACATTCCAATGTATAATTCCCTTCTAGGAGGAAATGGGCTTTCAGGAAGCTTAAAGTTTCTGCCACAGTTCACCACCTCATCCACCAATACTAAATTTTTAAATTTCCCTTAAAAGGTTCGACTTTCTTAAGTTACAGAATTCATAATATAGTCCTGAAAACTAAAAGTTAAAATCCAGCCTGTAGTAAAATTGATAATTATCTTATTAAATTTTGTGAAAAAAGAACCTTCCTCAACATTAATAAACATTATAATCAGATCTCATTTCAATTTCTATAATGAAAATTCTTTTAGCAACTTTAAGAGAACTAAGAATTAAAATATTATCATAAAAATCCAGCCATCAACAGTAGGATAGAGAGGAAAAGTCATTCCAAACATGCCCTACATTGAATCAACTGGCATAGTATAATGGGTATCTGGGAATCAGCCAAAACTTAATGCTATTCCCAGAACATGGAAGCTCAATGTATCATATTACTTATACTACTTAGAGATGATAAACTTATCTTAGAAGACTCAATTCCATGAAATAAAATTACATTAAATAATAGCCACATAATGAGGTTATTTCATAACCATCATTGTTTTGTGACGTTTTTCGAAGAGAGGAGAAAACAAAATTTGTCAGTTTGGCTCTTTTTCCAAATTTAATTGCCAATTCCTTTCTAGATACTATACCAAAAAGGCAGAACCTATTAGTGTTCCTATTCTGTAATTCTATTGCCATCCACATACTGAGCTTTGTGGTTCTAATTCAGTAAAGCCAAATTTACTGCTCTTGGTAAAAAGAAAATAATTCTAATTGCCATCAAACAATGATAAACACATTGTTTATCAATGGTGTGGGAAGTCCTGTCTATGTGTTGCTTTTCTTGGTTAATAAATAAAGCTGTTTCAGACAGTGGCTTAGCAGAATAGGGCAAGGCAGGAATTCCAAGTAGATAGAGGAGGAGAGAGAGGCAAAGTCAAGGAGAAGCCATAGAGCTACAGCAGGAGACGCCAGAAGAAACCTTACTGATAGGCCACAACCACATGGTGATACACAGATTAATAGAAATGGGTTAATTTAAGATATAAGAGCTAGCTAGCAATACAACTAAGCTATTAGCCAAACAGCATTGCAAATAATATAGTTTCTGTGTGATTATTTCGTGTCTGGGCAACCAGGAACAAACGAGCTGCCTCTACCAACAGGTACCTTTCTGAGCAATCAGATTCATGTTAATGAGTTTTGGAACACATGACAAGTTCTCCTTTTCTGCAGTCAATGTAAATCAGAAGGAAAACAAGCTACCTATTTCATAGTTGTTAGACTTTACAACTAATTTATTATACTAGAAAACAGTTTCAAATGAAGTGAAAGAAAAGATAATAACATATACCACCTGCATCAACTGGCTTTCTTACACAACCAGGACCATGCGCCTAATGGTGGCCCCACCCACAGTAGACTGAGCTCTCCCACACCAATCGTTAATCAAGAAAATGCTCACAGACATGTACAGGACAATCTGACTGAGGCAAGCCTTCAAGTGAGACTCCCTTTTCCAAGATATGTCTAGATTTGTATCAAGTTGGCAACAAACGCATTTATATAAGAAATAGTTCTGTAAGGACACAAAAACTAGTAATATTGCTTTTAAAAAGGGAAGGGAACAGTTGAGAATTCTTTGATCTTTTGTATTGTCTGAATTTTGAACTATAAGAATTGATTAGCTAGTCAAAATAATAAAGTTAAACTTTTAATAAGCCATGTATACTGATACAAGTAGGAAGAACACTGAGCAAATCAATTTTTTCACTTTAATTTTTAAATGTTTTAAAATGTATGTATTTAGAAAGACAGACAGACTGGGGGGGGGGGGGGACAACTTGTGGGAGTCAGTTCTTTTCTTCCACCACGTAGGTAGGTCATGGAGACTGATCTAAGGTCATCGGGCTTGGTGACAATCTTGCTGGCCCTACTTGAATATCTGAACAGGAAAGGGGATACAGCTTGGCAGCAGAAGCACCTGCCTAGAATGCACCAGGCCCTGGGACTAATCCTTAACATTGAAGGAGAAAAACCTCAAACAATGTCCAAACTTTTTTACCTTAACATTTAAAGTTTTGCCACAATATCATGTTGCTTTTTAACCCCGTAGCTCTAGACAAATTAGGTATCTTCCTTTTTATTCTAAGAACTATTACAAATAAGCAATGTTTGACACAATATTATGAACCACATGTGAAAACTGTCAGATTACATGAATTTAAAACTGCATCTCCATCAATCAGGAAAACACATACTGATTGGCAGTAAGCATAGCTGTTTCAGATATTTGATGGACAGGTTATTCCAAAGGGAAACATTAGGAATAGATGAAAACAGATGCCAAGAAATTTCCTGGTACTGCCTACAGGCAGTCTAAACACACAGTTCTTCCAAAACAATAGAAACAGCCTGAACTGTAGAAAGGGTCAATGTATCTTCTCAGAGAGGAAAATCCTTCTCTATTTTTCATAACTGAGAAAAAATTAGAAAACAAAATAGAGGATTGCTACTATTTATTTTTCACAGTATGTGTTTTCTCCTTGGTAAATATGTTCAGGCAACATTCAAGGAGTTTGAGGTAGAAACTACCAACATACAAAGACAAACTTAATATGCATGAAAAGCTATTATGTCCATAATTTAGAAAAGAAAGCAGACTAGAGAGTAAAATCTGCTTGGGATACAATGCTAATGTATTATTAATATGACCTCAAAAGAACTTCTGTGGTGAAATTCCACAGCTTTTATCAGATTTCTAACAGACTTTTTTTCTGTGTAAAAACCAGTTTCCCCACAAAATAGGTTACTCGGGTTTCCCTAGAAGAGACAATTTTAACTGCAGACATCCAGATTCTCAAAACTAGAAACAAAGAACTACTCTTTGTGTTTGGCTGCAGCCCTTCATCTCTACTTACTGCATCTTAAGAAAAGCCCATCATTAGCGCTTAGACGGACTAGGGCTTTTAAGCCTTCACAAACATTTCTGATGTGATTTATGTAGGCAATAAAAATATTTCTGCTTCTCGGAGGTCTTACAGGAGAGAAAAAAAATTGACCGGGCAGATAACCTGCCTAGAAAAAATGAAGTCCTGTATCCAATCCCCAGGAACCCTCCCCAAAGTTCCACTAAATTATTTAAAGTAGTAAAAATTTGAATACTTTACACATGGAAATTGTGTCAAATCATGAAGAGAAGTGATACATTAGCTTTTAGGTTAATTAGTTAACTGTTATTCATTTTCTCATTAAAATACACAGATAACATCAAAGGCATCAGATCCATTTAAATGACTGCTTATCATCCACTAAGATTGCATTGTCATTTTATATCAAAGAACTGCTTGGAGAGACGAGTTTACATTTTAATGAGCTGAAGGTGCTTCACGTGCAAACACTTGGGAGGGCATCCATGCACTTTGCAGAGCGTCCACACAAGTCTCCTGGCTCCCAGTGACTTCACCATCCTGCCTACCACTGCTTCCCCCACGAGAAACTCACCTCAATGACAAGGTACTTGATTCAGAATAACAGTGGCGACCAGAAGCACCGGTCCAGAGGCAGCAGGGTCTTCCCCTAGGGCTTAAGGCAGCGGCACCACGGTGCACTTTGAAAAAGGCATGCTGAAAGAGAAAGCGAGTCTGTCTCCCCAGCAGCCGCTCACAGCCCTGGCACGGGTCTCCGGCTGATGCGTCACGCTCGCCTCCGGCCGGCCAGGCACAACGCCCGCACCACGGAGCCCGGCTCCGAGGACGACACAAACACAGCGGTTTCTGACCCCTTGGAAACGGCGGCGGCACAGGGGGAGTGCCTGGGTACCGCCCCCAACTTCACAGGGCCAGGAGGCAGGGCCGGGCGCGGGGCCGCAGCACGTGCGACTGGGGGGCTAGATGCCGCCTGCGTCCTCCCGCCTCGCCACAGTGACCATGGATTCCGGGCTGCGGGCAACTGCACCGGCTCAAGGTAGGGACGCCCCACGTAGCCGCCCCAAAACCCTGGGGCTGAGGATGGAGGAGAAAGGAACGGCCCGCGTCCCTGTCGCCGGCGTGTGACGTCAGAGCGCAGGGGCCTACTTGCAAAGGTGCTGCAGGGGAGGAGCCGGAAGGCGCGGCGGGGCGGGGCTAGCCGAACGGTGCAAACGGGGCGGTACCTGCAGGGCGGGGCGGGACTAGCGGGGATGATAGGGGCGAGGCTTTGGGGAAGGGCGGGTCACGGCACTGCGGAAGCGAGGGGCTCCGGGCCCCACGCAAGTGGAGGAACTGGAGCGAAGCTTCGGTGTCAGAGGGGCGGGCCTAGAGGAGAGAGGAGGCGAGGCGGAGGGCGGAGCGAGAGGTAGGCGGATCCCCTGGGGGCGGGGCGAAGCGAGTTGGGCGGGATCGGGGAGGAGCAAAGGGACTGGGCGGGGCATCGGAAAGGGGCGGGGCCGTCGGAGAGTGTTAGGGCCACTGGGGTGAGGCTTGTGAAGACTGAAGAGAAACGGTACTAGCTGAAGGTGCGGATAGGGGGCGGGGCGAGCGAGGAGGGGCGGAGCTTCAGGAGTTGCTAAGAACCAGAGGGAGAGTGTGATACAAAAAGGGTGGGAGAAATCCGAGTGGGAAGAAGAATGTAAAACTGGAACGAATTAGGCTGAGTGAAGGCGGGAAGTTCACTCAGGAATCTCGGACTGAATAAAGCATATTAATAACTTTCCCACACAAAGTACACAGATACGCTACTTATATAATTTAAGCCCTCATTGCTTAACTGAGGATGCCATAAGTTGACAAATAATTTTCCTTTAACTACAAAACCTTAAAAAAGTTATTTTGAGAGACTAGAGAAACGGTTCAGTTGTTAGGACGAGGACGAGTTCGGATTCCCAGAACCCATGCTGGTTAGCTCACAACCATCTGTAATTTAACTTTAAGGGGATCCTGAAGCCTCTGTCCTCTGCAGGCACTTATGCACATATGCACACATATCTATGTGATTATAAATCAGATATTCTTAAGTGATCTTGGGCAGTTAATTAAAGGAATCATTTAATCTTTATTTTTTTAAGATATAAAGCTATAATTAGGTTCTCTACACCTTTACATCTACTGTGTATAACTTTTTTTTCTGTGTATAACTTTTATACTGAAGTGGTGAACAATAGACTATTCAAATTTAGTGCAGAATTTGAAACAGGTGCGGGGAGGGGGAGGTGGCACATGCCTTTAATCCCAGCACTTGGGAGGCAGAGACAGGTGGATCTCTGTGAATTCGAGGCCAGCCTGGTCTACAAGAGCTAGTTCCAGGACAGGCTCTAAAATTACAGCGAAAGGGGCTGGAGAGATGGCTCAGAGGTTGAGAGCATTGCCTGCTCTTCCAAAGGTCCTGAGTTCGGTTCCCAGCAACCGCATGGTGGCTCACAACCATCAGTAATGGGGTCTAGTGCCCTCCTCTGGCCTGCAGGCATACACACAGACAGAATATTGTATACATAATAAATAAGTAAATAAATATTTTAAAAAATTACAGCGAAACCCTATCTCACAAAAATAAAATAAAATAAAAAACAAGAAAGAATTTGAAACAGGTGAGAATACACCTAGCTAGAGTCATCTCGAGTAGCTTTACTCAATAGCCTAGTACCTTCTAGGATAACCTGGAACTGTGGAAAGTCCACACTTGAAGCAGGAAGAAGATGGCGTCTTTGTGTGCTGCCACAGTTGCTGTATGTTGTGCTTGTTTGTGTGTTGTGGGCAGACAGAGTGGAGAGAATGAACAGAGTTCGCCAGAGATCTGAGGTCAGATGATTTAGATCAAAGAAACCTGCCTCCTCTTTCTGTTTTTCCATCCTTTCCCCACCCTACGCTTTCCTAGGTCCAGGAGTTTGTAATCATTTCTAACGTGGAGATAGACGTGGAATTTCTTTGCCGGGTGGAAACACAGCAAATCACTCAAGCTCTTCGGTCTCCATGAAGCTACTGAAAGACCCCCGTGGTAGGCAGTCTTTCAGACCGGGGAGACCCTCCCAAGGAACAGCGAGACCACTCTCCGGATGCAAACAGCAAGAGGCTTTTATTGAGTACACAGGTACCTGGGGCGGCTTAGTCTTTCGGGAGACAAGCGCGCCTGCAGACTGGGGGAAGGTCTTTTTATAGGAAAGAGGGCAGCAGAAGCAGATTACAGAAGCAAATGCATCGTTAGGGGTCAGTTGGAATGGGGCAAGGGGCACAGGGGGTTTTTCCTTTCCCAGCACAGATGTATGGGAACAGACATCCTGTTAATTGATGTCCTGTCCTAATCTATGGATATATAGATCCTGTTTTGCAGCCAAGCAAATGCATCGTTAGGGGTCAGTTGGAATGGGGCAAGGGGCACAGGGGGTTTTTCCTTTCCCAGCACAGATGTATGGGAACAGACATCCTGTTAATTGATGTCCTGTCCTAATCTATGGATATATAGATCCTGTTTTGCAGCCAGGGACACTGACCTTACTCTGCACTTACAGTCGTACGTCAAAAGCTCTTTGAAGTGACGATACAGCAGATAAGCTGGGATCTTTCATAGGGGGAGTTGTCTCCTCTGTGAATTACTGATATTCTAGATTGGGCACGTATACTGACTATAGGCATCCTGTTTCCCTAAGCAACCGGGATGTTCTCATTAGAGCAGGCCAGCTGCGGGTTCCTTATCGCTTGAGGCCAGATGGCTGACCGGCTGACCGTGGATATCTTGCCTGGCTTTTCCGCCCTCATTTTCAAGTCGAACTTCCCTGCTCTAATTACTTGCGTTGCTGCAAAGTTTAAGCCTTGCAAAATGGCGTTACTGCTGCTTAGTGAGTGGGGGTCTTTCATTCCCCCCTTTTTTTTTTTTTTTCTCCGAATAAAATCCTTTATCTACTCAGCTGCGGTATCCCTATTCTCGGGATCAAATTGTCTAAGTTGGTGGTACTGTTGTGTCAGGACCAAAGCCTGGATGACAGACAGCCTGTCCTTCATAAATTGTACTAGCCGGTTGAGAATGCATGGTCCGAAAAGCAGAATCAATAGTAGTATGATTAGGGGTCCCATAATGGAGGAAATCAGGGTGGTGAACCAGGGCGATCTGTTGAACAGTCCCTCAAACCAGCCTTGATCAGATTCAAAGAGCTGCTGTCTCTGCTTAAGTCTTTCCCTCAGCTTTGCCATGTTGTCTCTGACTAATCCTGTGTGGTCTGCATAAAAGCAGCATTCTTCCTTTAGGGCTGCACAAAGTCCTCCTTCCTGCAGGAACAGTACGTCTAGTCCCCGCCTGTTTTGTAGGACTACCTCAGACAGTGAGGTTAAGGACTTTTCCAATGCACTGACCGATTCCTCCAAGGCTTTTATGTCAGTGTGCATGGCTGCCTGTAGTTGCCTAAACTGCTGGGTGGCGGCAAGGGCTGTTGCTCCGGTCCCTATCCCTGCCGTAATGCCTCCAACAGTCAATCCCCCAAGCAGGAGGGCTAGGGTGAGGGACACTGGCTCTCTCCTGAATCTAGGTCTTCCTTCAAACTGAGCATACACATATTCTGGTTCATGGTAAGTTATTTTCGGCCATAACTCAATTAACACACAATAATCAGAGGATATGTTTAAGACTGAGGAAGACACACAGGGGGTCAGTCCCGTGCTACAGGCCCAGTAAGTGCCATTGGGAGGTGTTAGGTAATAAGTGCCCTGGGGCAGGGCTAGTGTGGTGTTGCAGAGAAGTGAATGTGAGGGTGGGACTTTTCCTATACAAAGGCCCTCTCCTGACACCTCCGATAGCGTCAGCTTGTGCCGTGGTATATTGGAGCATTGGGCTGGTGGGGAGGTCTGATTGGTAAAATTCCCCATGAGTGCCAACCCTTCATAATAGGGGGGCCTAGGTAGTAGGCAGAGCCAGCATTCTTGAGTCCGGTTAGGGTTGGTTAAGTTTAAGGCTTGATATGCCCCCTGTATAAGGCCGACCAACCTGTCCCCAGTTCCGGATACCGCCGGAGCGGGCACTGACGGGAACGAGCCCTCCGCTAAAGAAGTTGAGGAGAGTGCCGGGGTGGCGTTTCCTGAAGGGGGTTGGGCTGGCGCTGGGGGAGGTTTGGGAGGGGATGGAGCCTGTTGGTCGCCCAGGACTGTGTTGGGGCCCAGGGACGAGGATGGAGAATCCGGGGTGAAGCCATAAGTGAGAGTAATTATAGCTCCATGGTCTGGACCGGTGGGGTCGTATCTCCGGATCCCCCATGATCCTGTTAGGGCAGGGGCCTGGTCCTTACATTTTGAAAAGGTCAGGCGAATGTTTGGGCCGGAGGGGTAAGGGGTCTTATCCCAGTATTCTATATGTAGGGGATCATTTCCCTGGGGGGTTCCCCAAGAGCTAGCCAGGGATCCCCAGGAGGAGGTTTCGCAGCCCCAAGCGTTACAATAATATTGGTTGGCCGTGCTATGTGAGCATCGTTTATGGCTCTGGGTCCCCGGACAGGCATACCAATCAGCATTGTTACCGGGAACCAGCCCTCCCACTGCCTGGAACAAGGTGACTAGATTGGCTTTCATTTCGGGTGGGCATCCTAGATTCTTGGGCCCCTTCATGGTTGTAACATTGAGAATCACATCTGTACCGGCTACTAGGAGGGTCCAGGTGCTCTTTCCCACAATGTGGGGCGAGACTGAGCGTTCTCCCAGGGCGCGGGGGGAGGTTATGAGCATCATCAAGACTAGGTACGGGAGAGTCTTATCTTTAGAGGGTTTTGTGTGCGGTGGATCCTCCATGATGCCCCGGTTGTGGTTCCGTCAGGAGGGCTGGCTGCTTTGACGTGCGACGCGTGGACCCAGGCTGCGATGCCG